GCTGAGCCCTGTTGGGACTCGGGGCTGGGCATTAGGGCCAGGGCTGGGTACAGTGGGAGACAGCCTGGCAGCTGGTGCAGGCTCCAGCCCCTGTTCCATTCCTGCCCACCAGAGCTCAAAGCCATCCTTGTGAGGAAGTTGAAGAGAGGAAGTCCTCTATAAATAGCTCATAGATAGTACAGGTTCACTTGAGATAAGGCATTTTATCTCCTTTTCTCTGCAGCAGTGGTTACTGATTCTGAAAAAGGTGTAAGCCTCTGGTTGTGTCAGAAAGCTGGGCACTGCTGTTGCTATTGCATGATAACCAAGAGCAGTAGCCTTTTGTCCTGAGTTGAAAGTCTTGAGTGTCATCATGACCTGTTACATGGGTGGCTGTTCCTACAGTTCTCCCTTTTGGTCTTCTGATCATTGTCTATCGTGTTTTATTTCCCTGGATACTGCTTTCAGAAACCCCTGTCTTAAGACAGGAATTGCATTTGAAGCTTGCATTATGCTGGAATTAAAACAAGTCTAAGTAAAATCAAGATACTGTCTAGTAGCTTATAAAACTGGGGAATAATGCCAAAATTTGAAGCAAGTGATTAATTTCTGTTTTCAATTAGTTTGCTGCTATGATAAAAATGAACAAGTGTCAAAACAGAGCAGTTGCTTACCCTGCATTTCAGTAGCAACATGAGCTTCATTTGCAGCTTTGTATGCAACTAGTTCATTATATTAATTGTTATTACTGGGAGAAATTGTTTCATTAGTGTATTGCAGCTTGCTTCTTGTGAAGCAGTGGAGTCAGTATTTGTCAGAGGCACTGTGCAGGTGCTCTTGTATGGATAGAAACCTTCAGAGCATGCAGGATTTTGATTTTCATCTAAAAGCAGTAGTGTCTTAAGCAATTCTGATCTAGTATGACAAGGAAGAATTATATACAAGTATGTGAAAATAACATTTCAGGACATTAAACATTAAATAAAATTGAAATGAGGGGCCTGTCTTCCAAAGCAGTGTAGAAACCTAGTAGAGGACACTGGAAAAATCCTCCTGTAACATCAGCATGTACCTATAAGATCAGGCTTTGGATGGATTTGGATGATGCCAGATGAGCTCGCTGGGGCCCTGGTTTTGCAAGTGTTACCCTACAAGGGCAGCTGTGATCTGTGTGTTTTGAAAGCACAGCAGCAGCAGTGGAGAGAGGAACTTCTGAGGCTTTGCATCACTGTTTGAAAACAGGCACAGTGGCCTCATCTTGAAAAATGGAGCTTTTTGTTCTAGATGCCTGGCTCAAGCTCGGCCCAGGAAGTAATGAACAGAGACTTGCAGTTGGAAAGAGTTGGCAGTTTTCTGAAAGTTTACAGTGAAAGGGTTCCCAGATTAGTTTTCTTGACAGTTTGAGAAGACAGAACATGAACTGACTTTTCACTTATGGGTCAAGCTGGAGTTGAACGTTCTGCTGTGCCCCAGTGCAGACTCCATCTGCTTCAGTGCAGCTTAGTGCCTTTTCTCTTTGCTTACAGGTGTTTCCATCCAGCTAGTTTGCTTCAGCATGTTTTTGGTTTTTTTACAGTCCTCCTTTGGAGGTCTGAGCCTATAGAATTGTGATCCCTTCAGTGGCAATAGAAGTATTTTTCCAGCTGCTGTGTCACCCAGGCAGTTAAATTATAATGCTTTCCCTCAAAGCAGGTAGATACTGTATCTCTTTTAGCATTTCTGTTACTCGCTTTGGTGTAGAATCTTTCCTGGCCCAGCAGTTGATGCAGCTGGAACCCTTCCCTTGGGTCGAGGAGGTTGTTTTGCTTGTTGACAGGATAGCTAAGTATGACTTAAACTTAACTTCAAGTGTCATTCTTAACACCAGGCTCCCTTGGTGTTTAGCATCAGGGCTGTGCTGAGTTTTCACACCAGCTGATTGAGCTGGGAGAAGATGCTGAAACTGGTCCAGACATGCACCTGCTGTGGAGTGCCCTGGTCTTTTCTAGGAGTCCCCCTTGGGAGCTTGTCCTCCCCTCAGTGCTCTGCCTTAGTCACACCTTGTTAGCATCCCAAACTGGGAATAACGGGTGGTGGCTGCTCAGCCGCCAGCTCATTTTGGAAGTTAGAAGTCTAGCACTTAGGGTACCTTTCAAGTGGTATTGATGCTACCCATAATTATTCTTAGAGAGAGAGTACACTGGAATTACAGTAATTGCATGGTGTGGTTTGAGGTGAAGGAAGTTATATCCTTCCTGCTTATGGGGTGAATTGTGAGAAGTAACAGGTACAGTCCTGTAGAAAACTCTTCTTCTGAGAGATGATTTGGGGCCTACCTACCCAACAAGCTTCCTGTGCAGAGCAGGTCTGTGTTCATGTGCTTGTTAGCCACACAGACTGAAGCTGTGCTTGTGTAGCTCAGACTCGGGTTTAAGCTCTCCCATCAGTGTGTAATGGTTGTAGGTACTCCTGGGATCACTCTCTTAGGGGAACACCCAGCAATGTTAAAATGAAGTTGTCTTAACTCAGGAAAACTTGGGTTCCGGGTCTGTATCTTTCCTTTTAATAGTTTGTTGTCCCTAGGAGTCTGTCAGTGGTTATCTAGGCACAGAGCTGAGTCTCTGGGTGCTCCTTAATTTAAGCTCATTTCTTGCAACATTTTGTTTTGGCCATGAGTGTAATTATAGCCACATGAGAAATGGGTGCATTTAGATATAATATAATTATTTAGAATTTTTTTAGCTAAGGCAAGGAAGAAAAGATTTCTTCTTGATGCTCTCTTGAAATGGGGAGACAGGAGCTCCAGGACAGCTGGTGTGTTGGAATTCAGAGTCTGAAGTTCAAAGTCAGATCCTTGATATCATTGTTACACGGAGACATTGGTTAATGGAAATATAAAATGTATCTCATTTGCCAAATAGAAAAGACATCAGTTCTCAAAATAAAATTAAGTCTTCATCTTAATAAGCTCTTTACTTTTGATAAGTATGAAAATACTTCAAAAATAAGTATCAAAAATACTTCAGTGGTGGGGTATTGTAATTGTCCTGTGAAAACCAGGGGAAGTCCAATGTCTCACGAGTGCTTTGGGACCTGACAAACAGTCCTGCAGAAGAGAGACTGACCACCAGAAGTTTATCCTGTCTAATGTGAAGTTTCCCACAGCTGAGAACTGGTATTTTTAAATCTTCAAGCAATAATTATGTATGCTTTAATAGAATTTCTTGTGGAGTTTCTTGTAACACTTGGAAACTGCTAGTTAGCTGGGGGATTGGCTTATGACGATAAAAGCTTTCAATAAAGGGATTAAAATATTGGCAAATGGCCTTGAATGCCTGTTGAAACATGCCCGAGCAAAATCCTCAGTTGACTGAGTATTTGGTGTGTTTGTGGTTAAGAGTTCTGGTGTCTTGGAACATGCTGGTTCTGGGACTGTAAGAAGATGGGATCCCAGACTAGGTATAGCTTGGCTCAGCTCTTGCACAGTAGTGAGGTTTCAATTCTGGGTTTGCAGCTGTTTTTGGGTCCTATTTTCTACATCTCCCTGCATCCATACTTCATGAAATTTTCTTCATAACAGCTTGATGAGAACTGGGGGGTTTGAAATGTATGATATAGACTGAGTACTCTCCAAACCACGAATAATGGATTGTGGTAATGGGCTAACCCTGCATTAATGGGACTTAAAAGAGCTGATTTGTTTCAGGCACCATGTTGTATGAACTGGTTTCATGATCTTTTTGAGGACAAACTGGTATATAACAGAAGAGCTGGGCTCACAGCTGAGTGCTGCCAAGAGTCTGAGGTTCTGGTACAGCAGCTTCCCCCTGAGTTACATGGGCCTGTGCCAGCTTTGTTGCTTGTCAGAGGCACTGCAGAAGCAGCTTGGCTCACTAAGCTCACAGAAAATCACCACTCCTGAACCAGGGTAGCTTCTGCCGGGCGAGCCAGTCGAGTCATTTCAACAAAGGGTCAAGAGTGGACCACCAAGGTGCAGCAAAGGCTGGTGTGGATCCATCTGAGCAGTGCTGAATGGTGGCCTCCATGAATGACATCTCCCTTACGAGCTGTACCTGGGTTTCTGTTTAAGATTGCTGTTAAATTTTTATTTTCTCTACATTTTAAACATATTATGTCTATTTAATACAGTCCTTTGTGAAAGGGCACTAAACATAGGGAAGTTGTTACATTATCCCCTCTTTGGAACTGTGCTCTGTCTGCAGGCAAATTTATCAGGAAATACTATTTTTCAAGAGGGCTGCTGGGATTCATGTTACTCAAGTGCATGTGCATAAAACCACCATGTTAAGATGGATTCTAGTTCATTTTCTTTACCAAAAGTATCTGAGCTGCATTTATGAGTTTCCTAATGCTGTTACTTGTTGCTCATTTTTGCTCCCTAAGCACAGACATGCTTGGAGATTTAAACTTATGAAGGGGCATGGCTGTGTACAGTAGTGGAGGACTGGACCTGGGAGCATCTTCACAAGATGGCACTGCTCATCCAGAGAGCAGGCTGCACAGCTTCCAGAGGGAGAGTGGCCAGTGATGTCTGTTACCTTTTCTGGGAGACTACTGTTTGTCCTTCCTCCAGCCTCTAATGTTGGGCTGCCATTGGACATTGTGGAGACCTTCAGGTTTTGGATCTGTGTTCTAGAGTCTGCTTAGATACTTATTTATAACATGGGAAAGAAGAAATGTTTCCTTCTGTAATCAGCATACTTGGGCTCTTAACGTTAGCTGTTGTGCTGGGATGAGCTGGAGGTGGCAAGATGGTTGTGCTGGTCAGAGCTTTTGTGAGCACTGGTGGTTGGCTCTACAACAGAGCTGCGAGTGTGGAAACAGTGGACTTTGCTTGATGGCTCAGGCCTCAATTTGGACATAATGAGAAGGGTGCAGAATGACGTGAAGGGAAATTTAAATGCAGATTATTTCATTTGGAGCAGATGATCTACTGGAAACATGATCGAAACTTATAATAATTTATAGTCAAATATTATGTAATGTAGGTAACTGCATCTCTCTTCTTTTGTTTTCAGGTGGCTATGGTAGAAGTTCAGCTAGACTCAGAACATGACTACCCCCAAGGTCTCTTGATAGCCTTCAGTGCCTGCACTACTGTCCTTGTTGCAGTTCACCTTTTTGCCCTCATGATAAGTACCTGCATTCTGCCAAACATAGAGGCTGTTAGCAATGTGCATAACCTCAACTCGGTGAAGGAGTCTCCTCATGAGCGTATGCACCGGCACATCGAGCTCGCGTGGGCCTTTTCTACTGTCATTGGCACTTTGCTCTTTCTTGCAGAGGTGGTATTACTGTGTTGGGTGAAGTTTCTTCCTTTAAAGAAGAAAACTGATAATTCTCTCCAGAGCAACAGTTCTGCCATCACATCAGGACAGGCAGCAGCCATTGCATCAACATCTATTATGGTTCCCTTTGGATTGGTTTTCATTGTGTTTGCAGTCCACTTCTACAGGTCGCTGGTGAGCCATAAAACAGACAGGCAATTCCAAGAACTGAATGAACTTGCGGAATTCGCACGGCTCCAGGATCAGCTGGATCACAGAGGTGATAACATCTCCTCGGCTGTTACTCATTTTGCATAAACCTGTACTTAAAATAAACCCACTATTCTGCTTCTGCCTTGTTATGTTGGCTCCCGTGTGGATGAACTGGTCAAACTGTTGATTGCCATTCAGAGAGATGATAAATGTTGTTCTAGCCCTTTGGAGAGGGAAAAAAAATTGTTCCTTTGATAAAATGTTGGCTCTCTGAAGGAGTGAATGGTGGATACATTGGCACTGTGTCCCTCCTCTTGTGAGTGCTGTGTAGATTGCTCCTTGTCCGTGCTGAATTGTGGCTGTATAAACATGGCAAATAACATTGTACATTTGGGTATTTGTTAGGGATGGATAGAGAAGCTTCCCCTCCCCCCCCACTTTATTTGATGTTGGCATTTACTAGAAAAATACTGTTTGTCTAATCTATACTGCATGGCATGATACAAATTACTTGGGATATGCAGCAATTAGCACTTGGTTTCCGTGCTAGCGCTGCTCTCTAGAAGGCCTGACAGATGGTAGCAGCGAAAGCTTTCCCACCACTTTCCTCAGGATGGTTTGCTGCCAAGTAATTATTACTTCACGGATTTCTCGTGGCAGTTACACATTTTATAACTTGCTAAACACCCATGACTAGTCTTACTGCGATGTGGTATGGCCACATGAGTAGGAATGAGATCCTACTCCACTCTTCCTTGGAAGAAAATAAAAGCAATAACTTTGGAAGCTCTCGTGAGCAGGCACATACTCTCTGGAGGGATAGAGTTGCCTGTTTCCCATTTAGGAATCTTTTTTAAAAAGAAGGAACTAGATGGAAATTATCACTGGATAATTGTTTTTGCTTGAAAATCAGAACTACTGTTTTTTTTCTAAGCCAAAGTAGAAATTGTTTTATACTTTTATATTAAAAATGTATTTTTAATAAATCCTCAGATACAAAGAGCAAAAGGTGCTTTCTCTGCATTGGATTCCCAAGTAATTAGCTATGCCTTGGTCTTCCTTGTTTAGAAAAACTCTTCTTGCTGAAGTGTTGTATTTAGTAACTTGTTACACGTTTTTGCCTTCTGAAGGATCTGGAGGACAACTCTTCTCTATGTATATTTATTTATGAATGTAGGTTATTTGTAATTAATATTGCTGCTTTCAGAGACACGTTTGTGACAGCGAAGCTACTGTGCCATTTTTTAATTTCCTCTTTAAGCAAAAACTGCCATTTGGTCCCTGAGATAAGAGGTTTGTCTGAGAACAATTGCAGCAGTTGTCCTGGGCTGCTTCGGTAATTCTAGCGATGTCTAGAAGCAGAATTTACTGGAATGCAGTTCCTCTGTGGAGCAGCTCTGGGCTTTAGTGGGTACAAGCTGAGTTTTTCTGAACACAAACTGAGACAGGTTTCAGGTCTAATGGAACAAAGCTTGACGTGCCTGTGTAGCTAACACTGTGCCTAGAGGCCTGGGGTGTTGAATGAGATGGGAGTGAAGGTGCCAGTACAGGGGAGCTGCACCTGCCGTGGGCTCTCCCGGCCTCTGTCTCGGCTTATCCCGACGTCTTTCAAACGGGGATGTGGCTCCAGTTGGGGTGGCAGAGGGTGTTTACTGCCCAAGCTGCCTCGTGAAGCAGGCGGGACTCATTTCTCATGTCAGCACCACCACAGTGGGAAGTGTTGACAAGGTTACCCGTGGTGTGTTCATATTCTGAAAAATAACTATAAAAAAAACCTGCTGGGCTTTTTTTTTTTTTCCCCAGCAATATCCTTGGCTGACAAGCAGAAAACAGCTTTCCCTTTGTTTTCACAAGTCCTTCCGGCGTACAGAGGCCAAGATGGATTTTCTCTAGGTCTGCCCTTACGTTGTGCTTCAAATCTGTTACTGATGTAAATCTGCTGATGGTGAGAATTGTGACTACGGTGTCCCACTGGTGTTCATTTGCAGAGCACTGGAAGGATCATCTTAGTAAAGGCATTAATGAAGCAGCATTCCAAAACACAAAGTCTTTGTAGCAGGCACAGAATATATTTTCCCATCCTTTACTGGTACACTAGTCCTCTCTTGGGGGAAAAAAGACTTAAAATCCTCAGTAAAAGAAGAAAACCTTCTGACTCAATAGTCACACAGAGCAAATAGTTGAAAGCATGCTGTCAGGTTTACAAGTTACACTTCTGTCCATAAATTGTGCATTTAAAAGTTACAATGTTATTTTTGAATGAAGTCCAGAAAATGTTTTCCCTGTTTATTTTGCAAAACCACTTGCTGTCCCAGATAAGTAGCTGAATTTCTCTTTATCTTGTGAATCTTTGACAAAATAACAGAAGTGTGAGGGCTTTGGTTTTGTTTAAGAAATACAGAATTAGAAGCTAGTGGGATGACCTTATTTTTAACTTTCTCCAGCCAGTAGGTTCTGAGCTAGTGGCGCTGTTATTACAGCTGCTTTTCTGACTATTTTCTGCACTTTAAGCCATGATATTGAGTATGTTTCTCGTTGCCCACCTGTGGAAATGGTCATGAAAGTTGCACCTCGGGCACAGCCTCCTAACTGTGTGCCAGAGGGAGTCACCAGATGCAAACACGTGGATCTAAACATTAAGAGTGCACTTAGAAATTTTTTTTAATCCCTTATTTATACTAATGGTGTTATGCATTTACCTCAAGCATTTTAAACGTTGGTTACTGTATATCACTTATTTAGATATAAAATACTTCAATGAAATAAAATATACTCAATTGTTGCTGATTATTTGTTATGTAGAGGCCAAAATACACTTATTTTATCTATATCCCTTTTTTCTTCAGCTATATCATGCTAGTCCCAACTGTGTTGCTGAGGATCTCTTGAATATGTTCAGTTACTCATTTCAGGGATAATACAAAGATAAAATTTCCTGTTCATGCTGACAGGTGTGAAGAACATAAACTAGTTGATGTGTGTTTCTTCCTGTCAGTGTTGCTTAAATCTCAGGACTAAACATGTTGTGTGATTCTCTCTGAGTGCTTAAATAGAAAAGTGTTTTCTCTTTCAGCCTAGAAAACAGGAAAAGTCAAGGGACCAAATGAACTGTAAGCAAAGGGTGATGCTCAGCAGCACAGTGTTAACTGAGTGCACTAACCCCCACTGGCCCATGGTTTGTTTCTGCACCAGTGCTGGTGAGGGCTGGCTCTGGTGTGTGAGCTGGCCAGGGAGCAGAGCCAGGGTGAGATCCGGTGCTCTGCATTCCTGGGGCTCACCTTACAGAAAATGCACAGAGAGAGCAAGTATTAATAGAAATATTAATTGAAACATGATTTGTTATCACTTCAAAAGCCATCTTGGGTCAAAGATGTGTATTGGGTTAAGCTTAGGGGGGTGGAAGGGTACAATTATTTGACTGTACTTTTCTAGGGTTTTGATTTTATAGCATATGATAGAAACCCTGCTGCTTCTCTGAGGCAGCATGAGACCTTGAAACCAACAGGAGTGTGATTTCTTTACAGAAGGAATCGGTTGGAGGAGCTGGGCAGAGTCACTGCCTGTCCCAGTGTTGTGCTGCTTGTGGCTTTCTCTTTTTTTTCTTTTATCTTAATTTTTTTTTTCTTTCCATAATAATGGGGAATGGGAGGAGGCCCTTGAGCAGAGCCACCTGCAGCATGAAACACACATGAGCAGCCTCGAGGGAAGAGTGAGGCAAACCATAACAACATACCCCAGCGTGGATTTCAGACTGGAATGAATAAGGAGCCCAAGAGCATGTTCTTATCTCACAGCTTTTTTTTTTCCTTCAGCATCCGGTTATTAATTTTGGCTGTCATCAAACATCGCCTGGGCCTCTGCTAAAACACCATCTGGATCAGCTAATTCAATCTAAATAAAAAGAATACAAATGAGTTATGCAGTGTAATTGGAGAAGCTTAAGTTTTTATAGATCTTGATTACTCGGGCATTAACAGAGAAATCTCCCCTGTATCAGGACTTCAGTTTCTACTGCAGCCTTTCAATTACTGTTTTAGAAATATGGTTACACTTTCCTAATTTTATTAGAGTATTGAACACCACTTCATCTCCTTGAAATAGCTCTGCATGGAGTGGGAGTGGGCTGATTCCCCTTTAACAAAACGCATTCTTGGACAAAACTGACTTTGATTTGTAGCCCGTTGGGTCTCACTGGTAGTTTTGAAAAGGTAACTGCAGGCACGCGCCTCAGTGGGTGAGTAATTACAACAGCAAATATCCCAAGTCCACCATGTTGTGTCCTTCCCCACCTGCAGTTCTGCTCAAATTCTGGCTTGATGCAACCCTGTCATCAACATACTGGATTCCTTCAAAGCATGTGACAATCACTCTTTAGTTTTCAGCCATCTTCTGTCCTGTGCATCCCCACTGTTTGGTCCTTTTGCTGGCTAAAGAAGATACACAGTGATGCTTCTCCCATGCAGAAGCTCAGATCCTTACCGTTAGCTTCTCACCAGGCACAAGCTGACTGTTTAGTGGCAGTTCCTAATGCCTGCTTGTCATCTACTTTCTCTAACGAGTGCTCACAACAGCAATTTGACAAAAGGTTTATGAAAATCCGAAGTCAATTTTTCCCCTTTTATCTGTCACTTCTTTCCTATTCTGAG